TTTTTTATAAGGTATCAAAGAACACAAAACCTTAAAAGTGTTTATTTTTTATTAGATGCCTTAGGACTACAAGGATTTAAGTGTTTTTACAAAAACACTATCATAACAATAAAAGAGGAGTAATTTGATGGTTTATTTACTCGTTATAACCTTTAGAAAGTGTCAAGCCTTTTTTAAAGTGTTTGCTTCAGGCTGTAGTTTTACAAGATGGGCTGTGGATTGGTCAAGCCCCCTCGATTCTTGACCCTGAACAGATTTAGGAACAGAGTACAGCTGGCTCATGTCCAAACAGCCAAAACTGCTGCTAGGTACTTTTACTATCCTTTTCAAACTCATAATCCACCTCCTACGAAATTGCACAGCCAATTTCTCATGTTGCTCAATCATATAGTTCTTACACTTTCTGATTATTTCATAGTCTGATTAGAATACCCATTGTGAACTAAATAACTAAGTACAACTTTTAACAGACACCCAGTTCAATTTCTCTGCCTTTAACATTTATGGGTAGTGATGGAGTGTTGTTGTAGCCATGACAGTTCAGAATCATGAGAGAGGAAAGGATTTTTTAGGGTGGGATCTTTATCAACCACAACCACACATTGGTCCAATAAAATATATCACCCTAAGAAATACTTGCTTCTCACATTTAATATTTATTCTAAAGTTAAATGGAGTTATAACAGTGTTAACAGTTATAACCCTCTACTTTTTACTAGCTATTCTCATTCCCTTCCCCCCCCCATCTATTAACTACAGCTATATTCATTCTTCTTTCAGTGCGCCCCTCCCCCTACCTGTCTCTCACCTACTGACCACCTCAATTTACATTTTGACTGACTGGCTTTCTTGCATACGTACTGGTCTGTTTTACTACTCCATCCAGGAAGAGCACAGACCATCTGCAAATGCTTCCTCAGCCTGATGAAGGATATTTGTACTCAGAAGCTTGCAAAGAAAAAATTTTCCAACTGTTTGAGTTTGTCTAATAAAAGATATTGAATTTACCCAAATAAATTTGTCTGCCAACAGTTTTACTTGAGTTTTACAGAATTTCTAGTAATTTTGTTAGGAACTTTTTTGGCATAATGATCATGCCCTTTGGGGGGTTTTTCCCTCAAAGGGATTCCCTATTCAGATGCACATTGTCAACTATATGTCTTTTTATAAAGAGTAACTGCACAAGTTATTCCAAATGCAGTAGTAAGATTTACTTGGGAGAAGTGAGATAATATCTTCAAATTCTTATATTGTCTTAAATTTATTTTCCAAGCAACCTCTCATAAAATGTTCCCTTTTCTTTTTTTCATAATTCTCTTCTGGTTCTCATTAACACATTTTAATTTGCTTTATTACATTCTCTCCACCTGATCTTTTCCCCATTATATGGGTTGATAGATACAATGCTGTACTTTACTTTGACTTTAAAAACTGGTTCCCTGTCAAAACCCCTATTCACTTCTATAATACAGTGAATCATATTTTCTCTCATGCACTTCTTATGCAACTTCAATATTGCAAGACTCTTTTATGAAATCCAGAAACTTCATAATATTCTGCACAGTAAAGTTCTTTTACTTTGCCTTCCAAAGTCAGGTAACATTGGCTCATGATATTCCAAAGAGCAGCATCCTCTAATCACACTACATATAATATACTTGAGTTGATTTGATACAATCCAGATGCAGCATGAGAACTGTTCTCCTCCTCAGTTTTGTGTCTGTGGTGCTTTCATTCTATTTGACATTAAGTATCACTGATATTAGTTGTTATAGACTATTCCTTCCTCCTGAATTGGCTACCTATCTAAACAGGTGCCTCTAATTTGTTCTTGCCAAAATCTTACTCTTATCAATCAAAAACTATTCCACGTAGCAGCTTATCCTTCCGCACAAAGACCCCTCTAGTACAAAGTTCCATGAGGCTAAATTCTTGGCCCACTACATTATTCTGCTATCTTAATTCTTCTGTGAACATTAACCACTACTCTTATGAACTAAATAGGCATTACAACACCTTTACTAACTTCTCCCAGCTGTCCTTCCTTGCCTCTCTTGACAAGGTACCTTTATCGGTTTATCAGCTTTCTTCAGATAAAACTCTCTGATACAAGTTCCCCTTGGGTAAAGGGAGCACATTCCAAAATTCAGTTCCATTGCTTCTGCTATCTCACATCTTGATTCAGAATATCAATTTTCCCCTTTCAGTGATGACACTGATGTTATTTTCAGTCTACATCACAGTTTCCCCCAGCATCCCTAACTATGTATCTGATTATAACCATTGGTACAATATTGCCTATTTATGACACTACGTCAACTCTACCTCTGCTGAAAATCTCATCCATTTTTCTTTCCTCTTGCCTTTATTGCTGAAGCTCTAGAATTTCCCAAATCTTCAGCTGATAAAATAACATTATGTTGTGAAGGCTTCTGTGTGCATCCTTACTGTAACAGGGTATGCTGGCCGTTTAAGGTGAGGGCTATACACCAGGGGTGTCAAACATATAGCCCACAAGCCAAACACCACCATCCAGTCTGGTGCTGCCCGTGGCTCTAATCAGATCCACACAGGGCATAGCGCATGCCCATGGTGCAGGGCCAGTCAGCAGCTTGTAGGCACTGCATGAAGTGCAGGTCATGGACTGGCTGAAGCAGGTGCCACATGCAGCATAGTCTAGCCAGGGCAGCCACTGCATGCAGCGTGGCTGCTGCTGCAGCCGGACTGCACTGTATGTGTCAGGCATTCCAGCCATTCCAGGATCCACACCGCAGGCAGCATGGGTCCCAAACCAGCTGTAGTGGCCCCATAGAGCCAGATAAGTTTGACACCCCTGCTACAGGCCATGCTCAGCCTTTACCCAGTTGAACCCTGAACACAGGAATTCTGAGAAGTATAGTTTCTAGGAAGACCCTTGGAAATATAATCTGGCAGCAATACATTTTAAGAAGGGAATTTTGGGAAACCAAAAAGAACCTAGTTTTAAAATGAAGACAGCAACTAGAAAGGGAGCAAAGCACATAGGGCACAAACAAAAGTGAGTTTTCAAGCAATCTGGCCCCTGAAAATACACTACAGCCATAACTTAACACACATGCATGGCTGCAGAGCACATTTTAAAAAGCCAATCAAGCGAAAAATTCACTCTGGTTAATTTAGGTATTACATCAAAGCACTCAAAAGCAGAGCGCCTTAGGGAACTTGTATTCCCTCCAGGGTTAATTTTTCATGTGGGCAGCTCCACACTGGCTGCTCCTGGCTGTTGAATGGCCAGAGCTAAGGTTGGGGGAAGGGGGAAATGGAACCCCCTTGCTGCAGGGGCCTGACTTAGCTCCCCACAATAGTCTAGCCGGGGTAGCTAGGGTGGGGCCATGAGGTGAAGGGGCCCCGTTCCCCACCCATCACACCCAGCTCTGGCCAGGTTTCCCTGCAGGTTTCCCTGCAAGAGAGACTGGGAAAGGGTCGTGCTGTGCTTGGAGAGAACTCAAATTAAAATAGGTTCCTGGGTCTCTCTGATGAGCAGAGGAGAAGATAAACAGGAGGCAATCAGGAAATTTCCACATACAGAAAAGCCATGAAGAAGGAAAGTGGGAGTGGGAAAAAGAGCTGGGATCTGGATAAGACCAGCAGAGACTTGAATCAGGTTATAAGCTTAGAGAGGAGCTAGCAGGATGATGGAAGAGAAAATAGGAAGAGGACCACAAAAGATTTTGGGTGGGAATGAACTGGCAACTTCATGTTTTAAAACTGACAGACCAGGCTTCCATAAAAAAAAAAGAGAAAAAGCTCTCTGCACTCACCTGCATGAAGTGCAGAACAAGAGTTTTCTTAATTTAACCAGAAGGCTAAATCAAACTACTGTATCAGCTGAGAGGAAAATGAGCACAACTAGGTAGGAAAACTGAGGCAGTATCTCTTTCACCACAGGAGGAAATGAGAGATCTCTGGCCCTAACATGTACTAAAAACACAGTCACACCTAAATCCTCAAACAACAGCTATATCTCAGAAAACATTTCAGAATTCAGGTTAAAACTCATCTTCTTTTTAAAACCTTTCCCTAAATTTAAAATATTTTTTAAATGTTCCAAGGATTTGCTCCAGCCAATCTCAAAGATTTTCCTCTCTCAAGCCTTTCATTCAACTAGTACCATCCTCTTCTCTGTTCCTCCAATCAATCTCACTACTATGCTATAACAATCTTCTCTGCAGTTATTGCCATTTGGAATAGCTTTTCTGTGTCTATTTGCCTCATTGATGCTCCATCTCATTTTAAGTCTCAGACAAACATCTAACTTTACTCCTTTTCCTATACTTATTATGTCCTTTATTGTTAGAACATGTAACAATACAGTAGTTGTAATCTGATACATAGGTTGTACATTGTACAAAATGTTAAATAACGTTCTATTGTTATTTATAAATTTAAATGAATCTTTGGCTATCCCTTGATACAAGGATGATGTCTGCCAGGTGTTGTGTAATACTTGCTGCTTGCTCCCGAGTGACCATCTGTCATTTTGGGAAAGTACTGACTGTACTATACTGACTGTACTAACTCACAGATAAGCAGCCGCAGCCATTGCGTATCTTGTCACGCTATTGCCGTAACTGTTGGGCACCACCTCAAACCCGGGGGGAGACCACCATATAAGGGAACGAACAGAACAATAGAAGCCAACTGGCTCACGGGGATACTGACAATTGTGTCAGTCTTATAAAACAACCAGGAATCCGGAAGAGAACACTCCGGAGTCCTAGACTAAACGAGCAGGGTGGAATCTGGCCAATTCTATCCCAGTCTCGCGAACGCCCACTGCTATCCAAAACCCAGGGCGACCCCTCCGCATCCCGAACAAGTGATCTCTCCCAGGGGAGCGAATAACTGCAGTATTTGTAACAGCTGGAAGAACACTGAGCCTCACTACCAACGTGAGTACAAAAATTAAACTTTTTGCATTTCACTTTAAGTGCCAAGGGACTCTGCCTCTGTGTTATTACCTCCTCGTTCTCGCCCAGAGCGTTTAACTCCACCGCACGCGACATGGCGACGAGGATGGGATCCCTGAGACGAGAAGGGAAAACACATGCAGACCCCTTAGTAAAGTATTGCCCGTGGGCCAACCATCAGTGGCCCCCGCCGACCAATGCGGACGGCCTCTGGGCCCACATCGCCTACCACCAGGTCGCACAAAATGGAAAGTTAGGGGGCTATTTGTCCATCCAGCTGACCGACACCCTCACACACCAGCCTGGGGCAGCCAAAGAATGGGTGGTGTCCGGGCTCAGTCCCGCTGTGCTTGGGTGCCTCCTATCATGCCCCTCTGTCCTGTATTGGCCCCCCGACGTAGTGGCGGAGGTCGAACTTAGTCGGATTAAACCCATGGGTTGGGGTATCGATCATGCACCCGAAAAAGAATTCACCTGGTGTATACAACACCTCAAGACAGGAAGAGGCTGTGATACCCCCCCCCCCGACAAGTTCTGCTATAAGGCTATCATCCCGGGAGGGGCCGAAAATGTAATATTAACTACCTTGAGGGAGAACCTAGAAGAGGAGGGAAAAAATTCCTCTAAGTGGAGCGGACAGAAGTGGGATAAAGGAAAAATGCTTAATGTCTTGTTTTGCTCATTTTCCACGCTGATGAGACACGCCGCAAATCAAGCGAGTCTAATACAGACACTCACGAAGATGGCTGCCGACCATGCCGCGACCACACCTGAAGATGGCGCCGAGGTGGCAGAGCAGGGGCGGGGAGAAGAAGAGGCGGGGACCATGAGTAACAAAGATCCGCCCCCCTCACCACGAGAGGCGTTCCCTGTGGCGTCAGCCCCTCCGCTCGAGGCGGAAATCCCGCCCCCCTACCCAGACGCTTTATGCCCGCCAAAATATCCGCTCGGGGATCACAAGAATCTAGACATCAATATGGTTGCTCCCCCCATACACGCTAACCCGATTGCCATCACTAAGGCGGTAATAGACCAAGCGGGAACCCAGACGACCACTACCACGTATAGTTCCCGCTCAAGGGGGGAACTACAAGACCTAGCGAAGGACACCAAAATTCAGCTGGGCGAAACCATCGCCATCTGGCTAGGACGATTATTGCTAGAACATGGGTCAGAATCAGTTGATTATGAGGAGTGCGCGGCGCTTATGCGTCAGCCGGCTTGGAGCGGGGGGGCGTGTGTCGACACGGACAAGCTGGTAACTGACGCTGGCCCATACCCTTGCCAGCGGCCACCATCCTGGCACTTATGGTCCGCGCCCATGCGTGGCACACGAACCCACCACTCACGCCTGCACCTACCACCCAGCTTCTCTACGCCATAGCGGGAACTAGCTACTTGACCTGGGATGCCTCCCGCAGACCCTTAAACCTTACGCGTCAAGAATCACACAGTGCCTGGCCTCACCGCTATTGCGGAGACCCGGCAAACGTTCCGGTGTCTTCTTCGTCTATAGTCGTGCGTGGAACTATACGGAGGTCCCAATACCCCCATGTTCCGGCTTCTATTAAGCCCATTGATTGGAGAACCCCTCGGAAATGTTTTAAGCTCCCTAGGAAAACTGACGAGCGCCCAGCGAGGACCACACACGCAAAAGGTTGCTGCTGCCACAACACAATGGTCGAATATGCCAGACAAACCCCGCAAACCTTGAGACCCGGGACCGCCGGAGCGATCTCCGGAAAAACGAGCCATGTTTGGGTTCGTCCTCAACAAAAGCGGCCTGACTAAGGCACAGACCCACCATCTGGGGGATGTGGTCCAACGGGCCTTGGCGGAGAGACTGGGCTTTACGTTCCAGTCAGGGGATGCCCAAGAAGTAAAAAACGAGTAGCGGCCACCAAGACAGGCTACGCCAGCTGCGACCCCACAGATGACCGCCCGTACGCTACCTTTGACGTAAGTGCAACTTCTTCTTCTCGTGCTATCCCCGTTCAGTTTCTCCTAGACACGGGCACACAAGTTAACATGCTACGTCCTTGGTGTCAGAAGTGGGACACCAGAGGGGATGCCCAAGAAGTAAAAAACGAGTAGCGGCCACCAAGACAGGCTACGCCAGCTGCGACCCCACAGATGACCGCCCGTACGCTACCTTTGACGTAAGTGCAACTTCTTCTTCTCGTGCTATCCCCGTTCAGTTTCTCCTAGACACGGGCACACAAGTTAACATGCTACGTCCTTGGTGTCAGAAGTGGGACACCAGGTTGGGGGGATTACTGGTGAGTTTTAAGGTGGCTGAGGAGTCCAATCCATGCTTTGCAAGTTTTTTCCACAGATATGACAAGTGGTGCTTTAAGAGCTTTTCCACAGATATGACAAGTAGTGCCTGAGGGGGAGGGGGGAGGCACAACTGTTGACCAGGATGTTGTGCGCTTTCCTTCCTTCTCTACCATTTCTCAGCTTCCTGATCAAGACAGTTCTCTTTGAAGTGGACTGTAGCTTGATGTATGGTGCAGCACCACTGAGATCTGTTACCAGCCAGCACGTCTTAATTTGTAGGGTTGATGCCACCCCTCTTAAGGTATGCTTTTAAGGTGCCCTTGTAATACTTCCTCTGTCCTCCACGGGTCTTCTTACCATGACTAAGTTGAGAGAAGAGGACTTGCTTCGGAAGACGAGTGTCAGCCATCTGCACACAGTGGCCACCCCATGGAGTTAATGTTTCATGATCTTTGCTTCAATGCTGGTTATGTTAGCTGCAGAGAGGATGCTGGCATTGGGGCAATGGTCTTTCCATCTAATGCAAAGGATCTTCCTGAGGCAATGCTGATGGAACCATTCCAGGCACTTAAGATGGCTTCAATATGTCACTTACATCTCATACCCATATGGAAGCATGGGGATAATCACTGCATTGTAGACCACTATTTTAGTTTGCATTTGCATATCTCAGTCAGCAAAGACACAGTGAAGCAGCTTTCCAAATTATATATTGGCACAGTGAATCCTATGTTCGTTTTTTTATCAAGACTGGCTAACTGAGAGAGGTGACTGCCCAGGTATGAACTTCTTCATTAACCCATATTTTGATGAGAAGTTGGTGAAATTTTTGCACTAGTGCTGTACCACCAGCTTTGAAGATCTCTGTGGGGATGCCATCTGGGCCGGGCACCTTATTGTTCTTGGTCTGAGTGATGGTATGCCAGATTTCCTTCAAGGATGGGGGAATCAGCAAGAGGTTCTATTACTGGGTGTTGTTGGCAGCTGAGACCTCAGATTCATGGTTGAGTAGAGTCTTGAAGTGCTCCTTCCAGTGTTGCTTGATGAATGCATTGTCCGTGAGAAGGGTGGAGCCAATCTGGGATTGCAAGGGGGTTGGGCCACTGGCCCATGAAACATGGCTTTTATTGCTTGAAAAAAGCTTCATGTCATGTTGGTCAGCTCAACTTTGGATCTCCATGGCCTTCACTTACCACCACTGATTCTTGATGTCACCACTGGTTCTTGATTTAAATGTGTATATGGATATAGGGTATTTTAGATAGTAAAGGGACAGGTGTCCAATTTAGGCCTGTCCCTTTTGGGAGAATTATAATTGTACCCATAAACTACCATATTTTCTTGCACTTACCCTGCACTTTTACCCCAAGCCAGGTGGCAGAAATGGGGGGTTGCATAATATGTGAGAAATACGGATCCCCGTAGATCTGGAAATTTGGCAGTGGGGGAGCAATAGCAATGTTTATTTCCATGTAGCTCTGGGACCACCAGTCCCCATTGCCAAATCTCCAGACATGTGGGAATCCCTCCTGGCCAGATGACATGGCCCCATACACCAGATCGCACTGGTACATACAGTCAGACTCAGTGTGGGATCAGACCTGGAGCATGGTATTGGACCTGGTATGCAACCACAGACCCAACGCACAGTCCTGGCTCTGGACCCAGTGTACCAGATTAGTTTGTGGGCCCCACTCAGTGTGCAGGACTGGAAGCAGGCTTGGCTCCCTAGCTGCTGATATTAAGGTACTACAAGGAATTATTTTTTTTATGCTGCTTTTCAAAAATGAGGCATGTTATTTGCAAAAAAATATGGCATTATCTTTTCAATTACTGTTAATTTTTTATCAAATGTATATGCTTTGTTTATACTAATTATTCATCCTGGTAATAATATTAAAAAAGTATATATTAAAGTTGAGTTCTACATTAATTGGGATTCTTGCATTATTGGCACTTGTCACAATCAGCATGCAACATATCTTGAATTCTTCACTGTATAGTGTATCATAAGATCATAGACTCATAGAAAGTTAGGGTTGGAACATTTAATTACATTAAAAAGAGGTGTCAAAAGGAAGCCTGTGGAAAACAAAACCCAACATGTAATCAGGTAATTAAAAACTGTATGATAATCATTACACAAAATGGGACCAAAATAATGTTTATGGGCAACCTTGACACCAGAATTTATTAACTTCAGAGTCATCTGTATTCAAACTCAATTTTCTTTAAAACTGGTTTCTTTCTTTGGATATAATTTTCTAAGTACGGTAAAGGAAACTTACTTTTGAGTCAGCTTTGAAAAAGGCAGAGAAACAATATTTTTTTCCGAAAAGGTATGTATTTTAGAAGATTTTGGCATTCAGCTAGTCACCACTTCTATTGCTCCAACGGCTACCGATCAAATACTCCCTATCCTCTATATTAGAGTATATCCCTATTCAGGTAAAGTGTGAAGAATGTGCTTAGCCCCTTATGTGTAAAGTATTTTCTTGATTTGAAATATTTTCCTGAAGGAGGGCCATGATACATAATGATTTATAGTCTCTGTTTATGTTATCATCTTAAATTTTACTTCACTTTTCAGGTATTGATTATAGTTGTGTTCAGTAACTTCAGTGTTAACATTGTGTCAAGACTACATATAATACAATATTTTATCCCCCCACCTTGGAAGAGTGTCTCACATTGCTCAACATAATGTCTCCATCTGATCACTAAGGAGCACTGACAGATTTTGGATGACATCTTGTCTATAATACTCCAATGAAGGATTATTTGAATGGCTCTGAGTTTGAACAGTAGGAGAATTAAAGTGGCAAAAAAGACTAAGCAAACCCTCAGTTTGTTCTCAGAGTGAGCTTTTGATACTATATCAGTGTCTGATGAGCTAGATTTTCACTACTCACTAGCTCTGCTTAGCTTATAACCTCATCTTCAGAGCAGGGGCAAACATTTATTTTGATCATTTAGTATTTGTACAAACAGAAGCTCCAGCCAACAAGAAACCCACCATATTAGTTTTTTTTACATGCATAATAAGAGCTCACAGTTTAAACAAACAAGCCATAGAGTGGGATGAGGCATAAAAGCAGAGAGATGAAATTATTCGTTTAAAATCAGTCTATTAGAAGTCAAACTGAGACTAGAACGCAAGTCTTCTGACTCCTGGTCTAGTGTTCTTTCCACTTGACCACACTGCCTCTGGACAAATGCACAGTAAAAAGTAAAAAATCCCATGGAGAGTGAAGAAATAATTCATTCTTCTCTCAAAACAAGAATAGTACTGTAATTCTTTACTCTCTATTCATTTTCTGGTCTGTTCCCTGCATAATAGCGTGATGCACCACTCTTAGGTAAATTTACAATATACCAGTCATCTGATGGAGTTAAGATTTGTAACAGATTCATAACTAAAATCACAGGACCTTTTTGTACCATTGGTTATTAATTAAAATGCCAATTTATCTAAAGGCACAATTCTCCCTGAAAATCAGAAGTGGTAGATTATGCCCTGCCGTTATCTATTATCTTGGTATTTCAAAATATAAATGCTTAAATGCATCCTTAATAACTAAGTTCTACTGGGTTAATGGTGGAAGTGGGCTACACTGTAGCTCCTTTTATCTTTCAGGTTCCCCCACACAACCCCAGCCGCTAATTGGTGGAGGGGCCCCAGTTGTGGCTCGCTCCTGATTGTCAAGGAAGTGAAAACCACGGTTTTGAACATGGTGCCATTTGTGCCTCCCCACCAGTCAGCAGCAAGCAGCGGGGCCCTTGGGGCCCCTTGGCCAATTAGCGTCTGGAAGGCAGAAATAGCACCATGTTTAAAAATGTGGTTTTTGCTTCTCTGCTGATCAGGAGCGAGCTACAAGTGGGGCCCCTCTGCCAATAAGCAGCAGGAGAGTGCACAGGGCAACCTGCAAAATTAAAGGAGCAGTAGTGCAGCCCAGTTCTGCTGTGAATCTAGTAAGGCCCTATTAATAACCATACAGTATAGAATTTATTGATAGAACAAACACCACACATACAAGTAGATGTATACTCTTACAAGTTGTTAGAAGTTTCTAACATTTTTCCTCTATAAATTGTTATTAAGAGCAATGTGAAACCATTTTTGGATGATGGAGGAGATTAATGTTTTGGATACTTAGGCTCCTACCAGATATGACATTTAAGACGCAATAAGTCTGTTAATTGCATCTTAAGTTGTAAACAGGAAAACACTTTCAGGCAATTAATGGTGCCACAAAAAGGGAAGCCAGCCACAAAAAAAAATTATACAAAAAATATGTATTATTTTTGTGGCTTTTTTCCACTGCTTATTGGGAGTGGGTCTAGATTATGCCTTGGGGTCCCCTGGGTTCGGCTGACTAAGGGAGACCACTACTTGTGCTTCTGACTGAGGGAAGCACCCCAAGTTCTTGAAGTGAATCAAGTACCCTCGAGGGCTACTAGGCCTGTGTTTCCTAGGGTGCACAGAGCCAGAATCAAGCCCAGCCGTGGGTGGTGGCAGTGGAACCCCCAGGCTAGTGAGTGTGCTCCAGGAAGGGGGTTGGCCAGACATGAGGCACCCCCAGGGAGGCACTTGGAGCCTGGAAGGTGGCCAAGCACAGTGAGGTGGGTTGCTCAACACAGGAGTGCCCCCTACTGGCCCACCACAAGCACCAAAAAGTAAAACCTTGAGTCTTTTTCCTTAGATTTTATACAGCAGTCAATACAGATTTTTAAAAGTATTATTCTATTTAACTTTTAAAATAGATCAAAACAAAAGTAAAATAAACATTATCAAGACCAATATACTTTTTGTATATTGTCTATATTATACTTCTTTCAAACAGCTCAAAAATATCATATAATTTAAGTAATTTTCTGC